ATCCTGGAGTGGGGGAGAGAGAGATGGTCGTGGTGAGGTCTAGAGACAGGAAAGAAAGATATCCCGGGGCCCCTTCCTCTGGCCCCAATCTAGTCACCTGTGCAGTGAGCAAGAACAGCGAGGAGGAGAAGGAGGCAGGCCATGGTGAAGAGTCCTGACTTCTGCCCCCGAATCCTGAATTCTGAGGCCCCGCACCTGAAGCAGAGCTCCTCAGTCTTACAAGTGCTCTCTTCATACTCTGATAGAAGGGTGGGCCCACTATGTAAATGATTTCACCCCAACTCTGAAGCACACTGGGCTCTGGAACAAACCATTTGCCTGAGAATGGACTGAGGGTGTGTGAGTGGGTGGGGCTATATGGGTGCCAGGGGTGTGGGGTTCACAGCTGTGGGCAGTGGGCTGTGGGTTGTCTGCTGTCAGCAGAGGGCATTTGGCACTGCCAGGTGGCTGCTAACCAACTTTGAGCTCCACAGATCTCTCAGGAATGAGCCACGTGTGCCCCCTGCTGCCCAGACTCAGACACAGTCCCTGTGTGACCTGGAGACCAGCCCCTCAGCCACAGCTCCTGCTCCCCACTGCTCTGCCCAGTGCCTTCAACCCAGTGTCAGCCACAGCCCCTCCCTGCTCCTGCTGCTCTGTCCTCAGACCCCTCAGGGCTGCCTCTGCCCAGGGTGCTCTTGTCTCTTCATCGGGCTACTACAAAGTGCTCGTCTACAAAGTCACCTTCAAAGACCCCAGATCAAGACCAAGTGCAGCGCAAGACCAGCACACATGGAGTGACTCCTGGACCCTCTCCCTTTACATGTTCTGTCCCTGGGAACCGGGGTTCTCCTTGCTCTGTGAGTCCCCAGTAGAACCAAGGAGAAACCTGTTCTCGTTTTTTGTACCTGTCATGGTGTGAGGATCCTCACACACATGCCAATGGGTACTGAGGTGCGAATCTCCATCTCTGTCAGCATGTCTGCAGACTGGTAAACCACTTCCTGTGTCCAATTTGATAAAATAATCCACCGTATGAGGCTAGTCTCCAATCACAGGCACAAGAATATTCAGAGAGACCGGCCAGTGACACTGTCTGATGCTTTTGCAGAAAGAGCAGGTGTTCTGAACATCTGAAGGGAGCATGCTGGGAAACTCTGTATTCCTTGGACTAATTCCCTCTGCAGGTGCACCCGGTGCATGGCACAGTTTCTGATGAGCCGCTACCAACAAAGGGAGGAGCAAAGGATTGTGGCTCATCTTCAGGCAGGAGTGCTGCGAGCTGTTTTTAGATGAAAGAGAAAGAAGTAAGCTCTACCCTTAGCAAATGTCTCTATGACACAGCAGTATACATGACTTTTGACCAAAGAATCAAACTGCAAGTAAAGAAAAATCCTTTTCATTTACTAAAACCCCACATTTAAAAAAATATGTCTGTAAAGATGGGAAAAAGTTTGGAAGTATGGCCCACCGATCCTCCATAGAGCTCCGGAGGGGAGGGGCATAGGGCTGGGGAGCAGCTCATTGGTCAGGGTGCTGCCTTCTGTAGATGGATGGGCTCTCAAAGGGCTCTATTACTTTGAGATTTTCAGCTCCAGAAATTGTTGATTTAAGGTCTCCACTTCATGTGAGACAAGATGGATTGACACAGTGGCTACAGTAACGTCCCGATCGTGAGAACAATGTTGAGGACGCCAAGGGAATGGGCAGTGTTGAGTTCTGTTGTGCACAGGGCTGCTATGACCGATTCAGTGACCCCTACCCACGACAACGCTTCTGTAGTCAGGGTCTCCGCAAGCGCGAGGGTTTTCTCACACACCGGAAGGGTCTTCCCACGGTGTCTCCCTATCGTGGTCACTACTGGTGAGACCCACTCGTCTCATCGGCTGAGCCACAGTTAGCAGATCCACAGCTGCCTCCTCAGTTCATGCCAGTCCAGTGCAATGTAGCCAATGCAGCCAGACTCATGTGTGTACTTCCTCATGGCAAACCCTGACTGAGCCACCGGCCTGTGTCGGATGTGCTTCTGGGTGGTTGGTGTTCAGACTGAGCTACACAACCTCCTCCCTGCTTCATGGACTGATGCCGGTGTTAGGCTGGGTGTCCTAGGGAAGCAGAATAGGTATAGAAAAGAAATTTATGTCAAGAAAGGAATTTATATCATGAAAGTAGCCCACACAGCTGCAGAGAGGCAAGCTAAGTCTCGCTCAATTCTGTGGGACAGAAGCTAAGCGGGGAGCCTCTGGATACATGCAGCTGCTGCTGCCGAACAAGGAAGCAAGAGGAGGGGCCAGGAGGCAGGCTGGTAGAGGCTAGTCAAGTGGATCCAAGATTAGGAGAAAGAATGGCAGGTCATACACATTCCCAGGGTTGCCAGATCACATGGTGGATAGACGGCCCAAGTCCCTATAAGGCAGGTTCAGGATCTAGGGCAGCAGGAGGAAGAGAGAGTGAATTCTCCACCATATTTTTTTTACAAGGATGAACTAGGGTGCATCCCAGATGAAACAGCATCAGTTGATGAACAGCATATTGTTCTTCAATAGAATGTTTTCCTTAATATGAAAACCTGTCCCATGAGATGCCTCCATCTTTTTCTTCCACCTCATCCTCCCCCCTACAGGTCTCTCTTTGTTTAACCACAGCAAGTTCCTACCATTTTTGTAAGCTTTTTGCTAGGTTTGCATAAGAATAAAATACTTTAATTCATCAAAGGGCCTAAACAAGAGAGTAAAAAGACTACATACAGAGTGAGAAAAAATTGGGAATTCAATAAGGATGGAATGTACAAAAATGTACATTAGATTTTTACAAACTAACAATCAAAAGATGAGCAACCTACTTAAACTGTAGACCAACCAAGTTTGTAAGTAGACATTTCACCAATAGGGCATTTACCTGGCCAAGAAGCATGAGATATGGGGTCCAATGGTATCATCCATTGGGGAAACAACAAGCCATCACCATGATAAGGTACAACCTCAGCTCATCAGTCTAACAATGATCAATGTAAGTGGATATAATAGGTAGTGCAGAGATGAGGAGGAAGGGAAACCCTCATCCAGTGCAGGTGGGAATACCTAAGGGTAGAAGTGCTGTGGAAAATAGCGTATTAGTTCAACATGGTGAACATGGAAGTATCTTGTGGGCCAGCCAGCCCTATCCTGGGTATGGACCCTGTGCTAGTTACATAATCTGTTGTCAACTTGAGACTATTAGAGTGAAAGGGTGACGTTTAGCCTGTCAGTCCAATCACAGCTGGATGCCCTCATTTGGAGGCACTAAGGAGATAAAAAGCCCTCTGGAGGTTAGACACACACTCACTCCCTGCAAGACATTCCTGTTGACAAGCCACATGGAGCTTTGCTGATGGAGCCAGAGCCTTGGAGCTGGAGAGCCTGGTGGAGACCCAAGCCAGTGCTGAGATGCTTCCATCGCCACTGGATCCACAGGACTTTCTACACACTGGCCTGTGATCTTCCTGCACTCAGGGTCATTTGCATGTCTTGTGTGAATCTGAAGAGGAGTTTACAGACTGGTACCGGACATATCGGCGAATATTGAACTCACGAACTTGATCTGGACTGGCTGGGATGTTTTCTTAATGTACAATTACTCTTTATATAAAACTCTTTTTATACGCATATGAGTATCAATGGATCTGCTTCCTTAGTCTACCAGGACTGACACAGACTCAAAAAAGTTGAACTCAGCAATGCAGACAGAAACCCATTCATTAATGTCCTTTGCATGTTTTTCCCAAAAGACAAATGATTTGGTCCCTGGGAATATGGTTAGGGTTCAGGAGAATAAATTTTCACGTTGGGTGGGTCATGTTCATGGAAAAATAAGGAGAACCTCAGTAAGTAGAAGGAGCAGTCCTGGGATGACTTAGGAATGAGGATTAGCAGGCTGGGGAAAACTTCGGAATAAGAGGCTAAGAAGTTATGGGAAAGGAATGAGGGACGATCATCAAGATCCAAGGAACAGTCTGGAACAAGGTCAATATTGTCAGGGCAGGGCAGTTGCTGAGCACCCAAAACCCAGCAGACAGCAATGACTTGTCCCTGAGCTGCCTGATGGCTGGAGGGATAATTGGGAGTCTAGGCAACTGTCCAAAGGACTGAGCATCAACAGTCACCAGGAGACCTTCCCCACCAATCAGAACACCAAGGTTAAGATCAATGAAAGGACTCAGCTTGGGCCTAAACTAGCCATTAGGGTTCTGCCCCCAGCCACTAGAAAACTTGATTTCAGACCCTAAGACTGCTGCCTTTCCCAAATCTCCAGGGGATCCGCTTGACTCTACGTGAATGTCTGTTTCACAAACCAAGGCTTGGCTTTGTATGCGTCTGGCCATCCCTGGTGTTGTGACAAGCCACCCGGGAGGAACTTGTTGGCATGCAACAAATATCTTCTCTGATAGTCCCGCCAAAACATACTGCCACGGAGTTGATTCTGGCTCCTGGTGGCCCTATAGGACTGGGTAGAACTGCTGCTGTGAGTTTTCAAGACTATAAACTTTTACAAGAGCAGAAGATTTACACTGGAGTAGCCGGTGGTGTCAACTTGCTGACCTCTTGGTTAGCAACCCCATGCCGAACCACAATGCCACAAGGACTCGAAAAATTAGTCCTTCCTGAGGAGGTCACTGGAGCCAAGAGGGTGGGAAAAATGAGAAAGAAGGCCCAAACTATGCATGGAAAGTTGGTTGTGCTGAAATGGGAAGGGGAGAGGTAGAGGATGGTCTGTCATTTAGAACAGACTTAGAGCAAAGCCAAGAGGGAGATTGGACAAGAGCCAGGGTGGAGTTCATGCTGAAATGAGGCTTTTCTTTTTTTTTAAAGACATCATTTATTGGGTGCCCTGACAGCTCTTATAACAATCCATACATCAATTGTATCAAGCACATGTGCACATATGTTGCTATCACCATTTCTACATTTTCTTTCTACTTGAGCCCAGGGTATAAGCTCCTCTTTCTGCCCCTCCCTCCTCTACCTTCCCACTCCCGTAAACCCTTGATAATTTATAAATGACTTATATTTTCATACTTTACACCATCCATTCTTTCCCTTTACCCACGTTTCTGTGTTTGCCCCCCTGGCGGTGAAGGGGGGCTGTTATATGTCGATCATTGCAGTCGGTTCCTACTTTCTTTTTCTTCTTCTTCTTCTTCTCCTTCTTCTTTTGGAATCTTACTTTCTGTTAGACCTCACTGTTAGTTCACTGGTATGGAGATGAGATTTCTATTATTGACTTTGTTTTTGCTCTTTAAAGAAAGTGACCCATCCCCCACCAGAGCAGCTGTTCTATGGTGGGTTTCCTAGAGGGAGTGTGGTCTTTCTTCATCCTCATTGTCAGGGAATGTGAAAGCAAGGGGCTCACTGTGAATTCCATGACCCCAGGAATTGTGTGTAAGGATGACTTCTTGATTCATAAGTCTTCCTTTTCCCCCTGAGCTTGGAGCTGCCTCTGCACATTATTAGAGACGAGCTGATAGGGTCACTGTATGCAGGCATCTCTCCAGTAAGTGGCTGACTGATAAATTACCCATCTGTCCCAGAGCCCATGAGGCAATGGCCAATTTCAACCTCAGAGGCAAGCAGGCTGGCCCACCAAGAGTGAGTGTCAGATGAAATAGGACTTGACCTAGCCCCTCAATTGTTTTCCATACACAGCACAATGCATCCACTATGGAACAACGGGATCATCCCTTCTTTGTCATGGACACAGGTCACACCCGTTACGGTAAGTCGGGGAAGAACGATAGGATAGATAGCCTCATCCCACCAGGATAGCACTGACTAAATGAACAGAAACTGTTCGGTTTGGGATAGGCTGAGGAGAAAAGGAACCCCTCATCCATTGCTGGTGGGACCATAAAATGGTTCGGCCCAGTGGCAAACCATGTGGGGATCCCCAACAAGGTGAGCATGAAACTGTCATGTGACCCAGGAAGCCCAATCCTAGGTATGTACCTGAAAGAGTTGGAAGCAGGAATGCAAACAGAAACCAGCCTACCAATATTCAGTTAGCCATTTTCACAATAGGCAAGTGTGGAAAACAACCAATATGCCCGTCTACAGATGAATGCCCAGCAGAATGTTGTATAAACACACGGAGATTCAAGGAGAGTTGGAGAACTGACGCATGTCACAGCGTGGATGAACCTTGAACGGATTATACTGAATAAAACAAGTCCGCCACGGGGACAAACACTACGTGACCTGATTCATGTAGAAGAACCAAAGATTCTGTGTGGTTACCAGGGGTATGTTGATAGGTTCCACTGAGTCACAGCGACCGTCTGTACAGCAGAAGGAAACACTGCCGGGTCCTGCTCCACCTTCACCACTATAGTTGTGTTTGACTCCATTGGTGCTGCCTGTGTGAATCCATCTCACTGAGAGTTTTCCTCCTTTTGGTTGGCCTTCGACTCTGCCCAGCTTGAGGACCTTTTCCAGGAACTGGTCTCTCCTGACAGCTTGTCCAAAGTACATGAGGGAAAGTCTTGTTACCTTTGCTTCTAAGGAGCATTCTGGATGTATTTCTTCCAAGAGAGATTTATTTGTTCTTCTGGCCATTCATGATCCTTTCGATAATCTTTGCCAGCACCCAAATTCAAGTGCATCAATTTTTCTCTGGGCATCCTTATTCATTGTCCAGCTTTCACCTGTACATGAAGCCAATGACTAGACCCTGGCTTGGGTCAGGCACACCTTCATCCGCACAGTGACACCATTGCTCTTCAGAAGGTTACAGAGGTCTGTGCAGCAGAGTCTCTCAATGCAACCTGTGGTTGGATCACGTGGCAACGTCAATCTTTCCTTCCCTTATGATGATGTTGCCTACTGGTCTGCTGGTGAGAAGGTTGGTGGTGGTTACATTGAGTTCTAGTCCATACTGAGGGGCGAAGTCCTTGATCTTCGTAAGCGAGTGCTTCAAAGGCCTCACATTCAGCAAGCAAGGCGGTGACACTTATACATTGCAGGTTGGTAATAAGCTTTCCTCCACTCCTGAGCTTAGAGGGGAAATGAGGAACTTTTGCCTAGCATCAGTAAGTTTATGCTACTGGTGATGGAAATATTCAGAAAAATATCTGGACAAAGATTCTTGTATTGGGGAATCTAGTCAATGTATATAACTAATACTCAAAGGAAAGGTTGAATTGTTTTATGTTTTTCTGTGTATATCTTTATCAAAAATAAGAGAGAAAGACTTTGTACCTGTTGCTCTCGCTGCTGGTGTACTTTTCCTTTGGCCTCTGTTCTAACTTCAGTGTCTTCATCCATAACTGGAATCCTTGCTATCTCAAGAAGCGGGCTTTTTGCCAGGGAGCGCATGGCAGAAATCACCACACACTGCGTCTCTCCCCAAAAGTTTCCAGGACACCAGCATTTCTGAGGTTGAGTACCCCAGACACTTTCTGGGCCCATGTCTCAGAAGTGGGAATAAGACAAAGAGTTTTTGTCTCAGTTCCCCATTCATCCTTGCCACTGTGTACTGTACACCAGTGCCACTTACACCACAAATGTAGTCAGCTTCATCCTCAGCCTGGACGTTGGTGATGGTCAAGTAGCGGTCAGCCCCAGAGCTGGAGCCTGAGAAGCGATCTGGGATCCCATCCCCTCTGGACCCGGTCATGCCACTGCTGCCCACTGCCATCACGAACCGGGGGCTTTTCTCTGCTCTCTGCTGAAACCATTCAATTCTATAGGTGCTGTGAGCACTGCTCAGGGTGCAGGTGAGCTTGGCTGAAGCTCCCAGGGACGCAGAGGCAGAGGGTGACTGAGTCAGCACAGGTTGCGACTGTGAGAGGGACCCTGAAAACACAGACACCCATTAGGTCGCTGAGAAGGAGGTGCCCGAAATGAAGTTGGGAGTTAGTTCAGGGATCTGAGGAGTCAGGGTGTTGGGGACCATGCTGACCTGTGCAGTGAAGCAGGAGGGTGAGGAGGAGGAGTGGGGTCCCAGCCATGGTGCAGACACCCTGGTGCTCTGAAGGAACAGATACAACACAGGGCTTTCGCGTCCCCTTTAAATCCCTGGGGACAGAGGGGCCCGTTATGCAAATATGTCCCTCTTCTTTTGGCCAACCAGTGTCTCCCTGGATCCTATGTGCACCCCCTGTGGTTGGGTATCCCATGAGGGAGGGCTGGGCTGGGTCTGATCTGCTCCCCAGGGGCCCAGAGAAGAGCCAGTTCCTGCACAGTGAGTCTGACTTCAACCCAAGAGACAAGGGCTGGGTTCCCCAGCTGAGAGCCCATCCCTGACCCTGCAGGAGCACAGCACCCCCTGCTGCCCTCCGCTGCCCCAGGACCTGGCCATCCATCAATGTGATCAGATGAGGAGAATGTGTCCAGAAGGAGCTCTGCTGTCAGCAGGGCAACCCCCTCAGTTCATGCCAACTTTTATCTGCTTGTGTTTCCTAAGTGAGAATCAGAAACAGGCTTTGCCTAGTTTGTTTATAAAGAGTTCTCGAGGGAAGCAATTCTCACATACAAACGTAGCATAAAATGCGAGCGTGGATGATTTCAGAACTGGGACAGTTGACCCATGTGCTCCTCTTCCAGACTACCCAAGTAGCCCGTTCCCCATCTTCCTACTGGGTGTGTCTCTGGATTAGATCTGCACACAGGAAATGTGACCAGCATTTGGGAGAATAAGCGAGGGTCCCTCGGTGGTTCGCTGGATTCATAGGAAAATGAGGGGATCCCCAGGGGTCAGCGGGAGGGGTATTCCCAGGAGTTTTCATAAAGGAAATCCCACACCTTTGGGACTACTCAGAAAGAAGGACCACAGTAGCCCCAGAAAGAGTAGGACACATACCTGTCCACATCCAAGGAATGATTGGAAGAACGATAGACACGCTTTGGGATCGATGTATAAGAAGTGAGTCATAACTGAGAGTGTACTGGAGACGGGTTAGACAGGAAGTGAGAGAAACCCAGTCTTTATGTGGATACTTAATTAATTACTCTGAGATTAATTCGGGAAGAGACAAGGAGGAGACATGGTGCATGGCTGAGGAAAGACAGGAGGAGGAGGTCATAGGGCATTTGGGTAGTGATCTCAGCGGGATGTGGTACAGTCTGAGGGCCAGAATGCCTCGCTGTTGACAAAAGTTGGAGCCACAAGGGAGAATGGCTGTGGTGTGTCCATTTCTAGGTACTCATATGTCCATACTCTCTCTCTGTCCTTGAGACTTATTTCTGCTCTGGAAATAAGGAGAACCCACCTGCTCTCTCCACACTCTGTGCCCTGAGGCCATCAGCTGGGCTTGAACACACCAACTTCTTCTGATCCCATTCGGAGGCCAGGCTGAAGGAACGACCTTCATGCAAATAGCCTTCTCCCACATGACCACCTGGCAGTCGTGAATCTGAACCTAAAACGCTCCTGCCTGCAGTCAATAAAGGTGGAGGTGAGCGTGGTGGCTGCAGTTTCCAGGAGACTAGTGAGACCACATCTGACTTTCCCCCACTGCTGTGGGCCATGAGATTGACTCCCAATCCCCTCAAGGGACCTAGTCACCCATCTTGGATCACTTCAGTAGGACCTACTTGTAGAACATATCTGGCACTATACAAGCTTTTACATGGGGTGTACACAACAGGAGACGATGTGTACACTCACCCATGTCAATGGTCTGGTGTCTACTCTGGGTACATGACTGGGTACATCGCTCTATAGAAGTGACATGGCAGTATGCACGCATTATTCCTTTTGATGACTTTTGTAGATGCTGCTGATTTTTTCCTTCTTCAATTTGAACATATCCCTCTTCATGGCCTTTCAGATGACCCTACCTCCCTCTTTCAAATCTTCCTTTCCCCACTCAAATTCCTTTGACTCAGCCTCAGCAAGTTCCCACCTTTTTGGTAAACTTTTCCTTGAGACCTCATACTAGTTAAGTACTTTTTTCATTAAAGGACGCAAGCAAAAAAAAATTTTTTTAAGCAGTCTACCCATAGGAAAAAGATATTAGGAATCCATACATTAGATGGGGATCAGATATATGAAATACATACAACATTTTTCTCTTTTTTTGATCATTTAATTGGGAGTTAATACAACTCATGACAATTCATGCATACATCCATTGTGTCAAGCACATTTGTACATTTGTTGCCATCATCATTCTAAAACCATTTTTTCTACTTGAACCATTGGTATCAGCTCCTCACATACATTTCTTAGAAACAAAGGATATTGGAATTGCCAACACTATATGAAATGGTGTTGACCATTAAATGACACAGCTGCTTTTGAGTCAATTCTGAGTCATACGCAACAAATATGTAGTTTTGGGGAATGTAATACTGGAGCAGACAGCCGCATCTTCCTCCCACAGAGCTGCCAATCACGCAGTTAATTGTCCAAGGCTCAACCCTCAGGGACTCCTTTCATGAACCACTCCAGAACCCTAACCTAACTCATTGCCATCGAGTCAATGCTGACCCTTAGCAACACTATAGGACAGGGTAGAACTGCCCATGTGGGTTTCTGGGATGGTTGCTCTTTATTAAAATAGAAAGCTATTCTCTTGTGGATTAGCTAGTGTTTTCACAGTGCTGACCTTGCCATCAGCAGCCCAGCACATAACCACTATGCCACCAAGGCTTTTCTCATTAGCCATGCTCACTGCCACCCAGTCAATGCTAACTCATAGCGACCCTGTAGGACAGGGTAGACCTTTCCCTTTGGGTTTCTGAGAGAATCACTGTTCATGCAAGTAGGAAGCCATTGGGGAGCTACAAATCTAAACCACAGTGAGATACCGCCTCATCCCATTAGAACAGCATTAATCCACAGAACAGGAAGCAATAGGTTTAGGGGATTGAGGACAAGCATAAACTCATCCACAGCCACTGTGGAAAACAAAGTGCCTGTCCCTCCACAAGTTGAGCATACAGCTATCCTGTGGGCCAGCGATCCCCATCCTAGATATGTACCCCAAGGAACTGAAAAGAGAAATGCAAACAAAGACATAAGCCAAAGTTCATTGTAGAACTTTTCACAAGACACAAATGGTGGAAACAAATGGTACGTCCATCCACAATTGAATGGATGGGGGACATGTTGTGTGTGTAGATATCTGCAAGGACATATTACCCGGGGAGAGGTGAAGCGCTGAAGCATGTCTCAACGTGGATACATCTTGAACACATTATGCTGAACAGAATCAGTCCGTCACACAGGGACAAATACTGTCGGGTCTTATTTGTGTAGAGGAAGCGAGGATTCCGTGGGGCTGTTGAGAGGTTCCATTGAGTTGCTTCTGACTCACAGCGACCCTGTGTCCAACAGACGGAAACACTGCCAGTCATGCGCCATCCCCGCAGCTGTGGCTGTGTTTGAGTCCATTGTCACACCGTTTGGTTCGGGGTCTTCCTTTTCTTGCTGACCTTCCACGTCCCCAAGCATGCTGTCCTTTTCTAGGATGGCTCTCTCGCGATAGCACGTCCAACGTCACTCGGAGGTCTCGCTAACTTCACTTCCACGGAGCATTCCACCTGGGCTTCTTCCCAGACAGAGGTGGTTTCACTTCTAGACGTCAAAGCCACTTGGGAGACGCTAGGACACCGTCACAGTTTGATGCATCAATTCTTCTGGGGGCTTCCTTATCCTTTGTCCAAGTTCACAGCTATGCGAGGTGATTCAAGACAACATCGCTCAGGTCACCCACACCTTGATTTTCAAAGAGTGGCACGCTCACTCTTTCTCATTTCCTGCACAATAACCCATTTCCTGCATGGAAACCTGTTGAGTCTTCCTTTATTTCCTTTAAACAGGGAGCTGCCTTCAGAAATGACGAGTGACAAGCTGATGGGATACAACATCCTGGTCTCCTTCAAATCATAAGCTGACTGATAAACTCCCTTCTCTCCCAGAGCACAGAACAGGGACAACCTCAATTGAAAAGAAAGCAGAAAACATTAACGACTGAAACAAAGGGAGATCAAATGATAGATACAGTGTTCCATTTTAAGCTCACTGTACCTGCCATAGTTGACTTCACAAAGTTCTCTGTCAGACAGCCACGCTATTCACATTCTGGAGAATGGTCAGAAGGAATGCACTTGAGATTTAAACCTAGGTTGGGTTCCTGAAAGTGGATTTGGGGCTTCCACTCATCAATAGCCCTTCTGCAAATCAGGTGTTCAGAAGGTAAGCTCTGATACTGGTCCCTTATCTGGATTTAGATTCTATTTTTTACACAACCTGGTGTGCTTCTTCCATGAGGACACACTGATGCCTCACTTGGATGGCTGCTTATTTGGGAACATGCCTTTAAGGCTCCAGACATTTTTCTTTCTGATAACAGGACACGATCTGTACCTTTAACTGTTTACGGGAGAAGAAGGCCCAGTCTTCCTGGTCTCTTCATCACCCTGTGCCACTGCACCCATGCCTACAAGGATCTCTTCATGAGGATGAGTATCAAGCAGGGCCATGTCATAAGAACTAATTGTGCTTATAGAGGCCTATAATTAACTGTGAGCCCCTAATCCATTGAGATATCGATGGATTTCATCTATCTCTGGGTTACTTTAGAAACATTATTATCATTTTATGATGGAAAGCATTATAAATCAACCTTTTGGCACATAAGGTAATTCTATGGATAGTGTCATCAATTTAGCCAATACTATACCACTTTTTTAAATGCTGAGAAAGGAAAGGATACAAATATAGGTCAGCTTTTCAGACCCCAATACATAAATTGTTAGCTTGTATAGCTTAAATTGTTACGTGACTGGCCACTAGTTACAGGAACAGTGGGGGTTGGTGATAGGGCAAAGCTCTCACTAACACTCAGTCACAAAGGCCACACCGTGTCTATCTGACTACTCCCTGTCAGAGGGAAGCGAGCCAAGGATGAGAGGAGTCAGTGCAGCAGTCCTGGGCCACCATTTCACTGGGCACCTCCGAGCAAGAAGTTCTCTGTGTTCTGGAGCAGCCTGGCCTCGCAAA